GCTCCCGCGGCTCGTCTCGTCGCGCGAATAAATCGCGCGCAACTTCGCTCCTTTGCGAGTACTTACTTATTGCGGAGCGAGATATCTTTTTTTTTTGCTTATTTGAAACGGGCTTCCTGGGCAATTACAGTCCGGTTACCAATAATTATTTTCAACTCGTCGCACGTACGCGTACGCACACGGGCATCGATGTGCCGGGTGACACTGCAAAAAAGAGTCACGCGATTTTTTTGCGTCTATGCAAAGACCCGTATTCCGGGGGGTCAATTCTGTATCTTACACTACAGTGAAAATGCTAAAAGTGAGTATAGCTTTGTCTCTTCCCGACTGTCCTTAGTAAAGGGACAAAGCCGCACCTTTTTTTACCACGTTTGCTATATTGACTACATTTCAGGGTCAGAGTCGGGCTAGAATTGGGTCAGAATCGGGTTGGGATTTGGTGTTTCCATTGTAAAAACGCTCACCCCAAACTCGATTCTGACCTGATTTTGACCCTACTCTAGCCCGACTCTGACCCTCGGTGAAAACGTAGTCCAAGATACAGAATGAATGCCCAGAATATGGGCTGATGTCGCGGCGATTAGGGTGACTTTCGGCCGACCCACGTCTATTCCTATCAATGTGTTCTTCTTCAGCTTGAAGAATTAGAAAGAGATGAAAAGCGCGTTAAGCCGAGACTAGTCGATTGATAGAAGTACACGTCCATTTCTATCAGCGCAGATTCCCTCACCTTTTTTTATCTTTCTCCAATTCGCGAAACTAGAAAAGCCTAGCGAGTAAAGTTTCACCGACGTTGTTCGACTTTAAGCTCGGCTTAATTCGCCCGTAGTCCCTTTTCAACTGTTACTTTAGAAAGAGTCGAAACCAAGATCAAGGTTAAGCGACGTTTGGTGAAACCGGGCCTAAGCCGTGATCAAAGTTAATCCAATTGATGGAACTGGACGCGTCAGACCTTCGACAAGGCCGCGCTAACGCCGTCGCTCGTCCCGCCCGGCACTCCAACGGGTGGCGAAATACACGTCGTGTGTACGGGGATTCGCCGTATGCAGCCACGCGAGCTACGAGGCGCGGTCTACGGACATCTAGAGTACGCGCACAGTCGATGATCTGCGCGACGACGGGACGCTCATTCGAAGAAAAGCCCGACGGCGACGATAAGATGGCGGCGTCGCGCACGTCAGATTGCGAGTGAGCGCGGGTGGGAGGCGGCAGGAAGAGGAGGTAGACGGCACTGACGGCAGGCGGGTGCGGGCAGGCGGGCGGACGGACGGACGGACGGGCGAGCGAGCGACGAACGAGCGAGCGCGAGCGAGCGAGCGAGCGAGCGAGCGAGGCACAGACGGGAGTCGTACGTGTCGTCGTACAAGTATATACGTGCCTGCGTGTGGAACGTGCGGCGAGGGCCCCGTGTGTCGTCATGTCCTGGCGTAGCCGCGTACCCGCCGTAATATCGAGGCAGCCCAGCTACTACGAGGCGGCGCAGGTCGATTCTCGTCTCGCGTGATCCGGCTTCCGTCTCACTCTCGTCCGCCAGCCAGAGGACTCGTCGCCGTTTCGTCGATGCCTTTGTTCGCGGCCGGGTGGAGGAGGACGGGCGCGGACTGTCGTCGCGACGACGAGGCGAAGACGAGGACGCGGGCGAGGAGAAGCCTCGCGCCCATATAGCCTAGCTGACTGCCCCAGTGGAAGTGTCAAAGTGTCGCCCGCGAGGGAAGGTGCGACGATCTCGCTCCGTCTGTCTCTCTCTCTCGCGCTCGCGCTCTTCCCCGTTGCTCCGCGCCTGTCTCTCTCGCGGTCTCCTTCTCTTTCTCTCGGGTGAAACGGCGCTCCACAGCCCGGCGCGGTCCTGGACACGTCTAGGAGGTGGTGGCGACGTCGTAGAAGGAGGCGCGGAGGTGCCGACGGCGACGGCGACGACAACGGCGAGATGCGCGAGTTCAAAGTGGTGGTCCTCGGCTCGGGCGGGGTGGGCAAGAGCGCGCTCACCGTCCAATTCGTGTCCGGCTGCTTCATGGAGAAGTACGACCCGACGATCGAGGATTTCTACCGCAAGGAGATCGAGGTGGACAACTCGCCGTGCGTGCTCGAGATCCTCGACACCGCCGGCACCGAGCAGTTTGCGTCGATGCGCGACTTGTACATCAAGAATGGCCAGGGCTTCGTCGTGGTCTACAGCCTGACCAATCACCAGACCTTTCAGGACATCAAGGCGATGAAGGAGCTCATCACGCGCGTCAAGGGCACGGAGCGCGTGCCGGTGCTGCTCGTGGCGAACAAGCTGGACCTGGAGCACCAGCGGGAGGTCGGCACCGAGGAGGGTCACCAGCTCGCCCAGCTCTGGGGCTGTCCGTTCGTCGAGGCCAGCGCCAAGAACCGCACCAACGTCAACGAGATGTTCGCCGAGATCGTGCGCGAGATGAACTTCAGTCCCGAGAAGGAGAAGAAGACCTACTGCTGTTGCAGCGTCCTCTAATACTTAATCAAAATCCACCGTCGCCCGGATTGTTTACCCGCGGATTACCGTACTAAGGTGATGGAGATGTACAGTGTGTACAGTGCTTCGGGTTCGCCGGCCCGTCTCTACGCCGTTCCGCTACCGTTTCCCTCGCAGCTGCCGCTCGGCCTGCCGAGGAGCGTGTCGAGGGAGGATACAGTGTACAGTGGCTTACGGGCAGACCCCTCGTCAGCGTGCTTCGTCGTCCTCGAGGAGCCTCTTCCTCGAACAACCATCCTTCGGAGGCCCCTGCGACCTCGGGATGCGCCGCGCATCCCATCAGAGCCGAGCTTGTGTCGGACGCTGTACGAATTTTCCAAAATGGGAACTGCGCTTCTCCCCTTTTCTAACTCTCGGAAGACCGTCCGGCGAGCGGCGACCGTTAAACACAGATATTTTATTATAACGCGAATAGTATTATGTATGTAATATTATTGTAATATATATACATATATACATATAAATAATATAGATAGGATTTAAGGGAAAGAGAAAGAGCGAGCGAAAGGTAGCTTTTCCTCGGCAAAAGGACCAATACTCCGCTCGCGCGCGAAAGGAGAAGGCGTCGAAGAACCGTAAAACCAAACTCGATCTATCGGCTTTCTGCTCAATTTCAGACAGAACCATCGCACGTAGGTTCGCGTTCTGGCAAATCGAGACTAGGTGCCGCGCAGAAAAGATAAAAAGTTATTCGCAGACTTTGAAGGAATCACTGTGATGCTCGTTCTAGCATGGTGATAAGTTCGGCGATAGCGAGTCAAACGTTTGACCGAGGGCTTAATCCCATGCGTCGCACAATTTGTACGCAGTCGCGCCCAGGCTTACGCGATCAAGTCCATCTGACTCGACGAAAGTGGTTCGGTTTCGAGAGTACTCTTCTCTGTGCAATTGTTCTGTGTTAATTTAAGCTAAGGAGGCTGATTAGCGAGATACCGTCTGAACATTTTTGTACGAGACGTTAGTGAATGAAACATTTGTAACACAGGGTGTCTCACCTAATTTCATTATTTGAAATGTCTTCGTTGTTCTTAAGGATAAAAGTGTTTCAGAAACAAATCCGATTTGAGCGAGACCGCTCTATAACGGTAACGTTTGTTGTCCCCTCGAATCAAATTTGTTTCTCAGACAGATTTCCAAAAATGTTCCGAGATATTTCAAATGGTCGAATACCATCCTGTAATGTCGGTTGTACAGTCCTAACATTGAGCTATTTTACTGTGCGTAAAAGGAAAGGCACTGAGAATGTAGTTTTGTACGCGACACCTCAGTGGTTAACGGATAACCCAGCTGTTGTGAGATTTCTTGTGATCCATTTTCTAGCAAATACTAATATCTTACTTTTGTTTCGCTTTAATGTCTGTTCCGAGTTGTTTGATACAAGCGCAGTACCGTATTTGCAAACTTTAGGCGCGCCGAACAAGTGAGCAAACCAATGTCGCGGTTGATTACAAAATCGAATTTCAATAAACTAAGAGCCAGAGCTGAAGACTTGCCTTTAGTTCGTTGAAATCTAACGTTGCAGATAATATTATTGTATCGGAGGATATTGCGGGAGACACGTTTTCGTAAAGAGCTAATGATGTCAATCTAAACTCGTAATTTGTAAGCTTTGTACGGTTAAAAAAAAAATTTGTACTACATAGGCCGCAAGACTGCACACTCGATCATCATGGGATTGATGACGGTTTTGTTCTTTAAACGAGTGATCTTACACACCAATGACAGAGCACAATAGTAGAATTAGAAATCTCCGGAAGGTGCGCCGGTTTCGCATTGATCCCTTCAACTGCAAAATCACGTACGTGCTATTATATTCGTCGCTCATAACGATGACACCGATGTGAAAAGTATCGTAATGGAGCAAGACTGTGAGACTTGTTTTTTCAAAAATGTCCTTTCTGTCCTCGAGGCCTTGTGAAGAGTCACAGGATCTGAATGCGTTTCGCTAAAAATTTCCCGTAAAAGATAATATATTTAAAGAGAGAACTGTGAATGCTCGGAAAGGTAGTTACAATACTTTTCGTTGTTGGCATCGCTGTCGAAGAGAAGAGATCCGTAGAATCTCGCAGCCTGAAACTGTCGTTGAGTTTCTGAATGTAAAAAGAGATCGGATGGATGCGAGAGAAGCTGAGAGAGCCAGCGACTCTACTTGGCGGACAATTAGCCGATTTTAAAATTCCGAAAAAATTACACACTTATTTTAGAAACGTAGAATTTCACGTTTCACCGAAGTCGCAGCGTGAAGCGATTCTAAAGATGCGGCTATAGAATTTATTTTGCAAATTATTTCACAATCGTTTCTCGTTGCGTACTTAAATACAATTACGCTTTGTAAATTGTCTTTAGATATTCGTACCTTTTACTTCTAAGCGTTGCAATTTCGGTGAACTATTGTACATTTCCGGTATAATATACAAGTTATAGGAATTTCTTTTATAGTTTCACCTCGTTTGTTGTAACGGAAAAGTTTGACGGAATTTTTTAAAGCGTTTCATTAATTGTGTGACTGCGACCAGCGTGCTGGATAATGTGTGTAATTTTTCTCGTGTGATTAAAATCGTATTATTCAATGTTAAATGTCGCTTCTCGACGGGCGCAGCGTAACAACGTTCATTATACATTGTTCAATGCATTGTCATTTAATCCTTGGACGCACGAGAGTTATTTTTACCTCTTCTCGATATTCTCTCAGTTTCCACCGAGATCGAGTCGGTTTTCTCTTCTATGTATTTAATTTTTAGAGGAGCCTGAAACTGTCCCTTTCGACAATACTTAATTCGAATTTGTCGAGCTTTCGAGAGAATTATCGGAAGGCCGCGCACATCCGAGGATTAAATGCGAGAATGAAGAATTGACGAAAATCGTTCGAGACCTTTTTACCAATTTTACCGAAGGATATTGTCCCCGTTTCTGCGACAAGGTGCATTTGTAATTTTGTACAGCCTCCGCATCCTGATTTGTAACGCGGCGTTATGAAATTTTAACGCAAATTGTATCGTCCGAGTCGTACACGCGCGATACTATTTTCCAACTTTCGGAAAAAATTGCGGGAGTTGAGAGTTGAAGAACAAAAAAAAATAAAAAGAAGATGAGAATGAACTGATGTACAGTATTTCTACGATTGGTAGTTAGAGCGTTCTTAGGTATCGGGAAGAGATGATCGTTCATATTATACTTAGAAAGACGCGTGTAACTTCGAATGAGACGACGAAAGACCCTTTCGGTGCACTTTTTTTCGAACGGTGCTCTCCGTAGGTTTATTCCGGGCCCCGGTGTGTTAGAAAGGGGGAAGGAGAAGAAAAAAAACAGGCGAGGAATTCGCGCCGGAAACCGCGGTCGCAAGTTATCTCGAGAGATGAAGGATAAGAGCCGCGGGGCGAGGTGGTTTCGCGAAGCCCCGCTATTTTGTCACAATAACGTGGAAAATTCTTAGTCTCGCTGTGATCCCGTAGTCGTAACTCCGCACCTTTTGTATATCGGATAACAATAATCGAAGTCTTCACCCGGCTTCGATCGGAGGGCCTCTTTACAAAGCGTTTTGATCGTCGTCGCCTGACTTGTATCACACTTTCTTGCGTTTTTCGCCCTGTTTTATAAACACGGATTAGACACACATACACACGTACACGGATGAGGCGCGGATCACAAAGGACGCACAAGGCCGTCGTCCGCCTAGATAGCTCACCAAGTATTTGATATACTTGAAAAATCTATTTATATATTTGTACGAGGAGCGAGAGAAAGAGAGAGGCCGCTCTCCTCCTCGCGCGTCCAATTCACGCGATTGCATGCGCTATTTTTCCAGAGCGGTATCCGAAAACCGTTGCCGCAAGAGGTGATCTACGGCATAGACTTCTAATAATAGCAGAATAATTTTTATTTGGTGAGCTATCGCTCTGGCGGAGAAGCGTCAAGGAGAAAAAAAGGAGAGAGAGAGAGAGGATTGCGCCATGCCTGGAGTCGGCCAGCATATCATACGTCTAAGGACCAGAATTGTTTCTTCTTCACTTTGCTTACGATCGGCGAATCAATTATCTTCCTACGTGTCGAAGAGAAGGATCGAAAATGAGATACAATAATGCAAAGACGTGTTACGCCGTAACGATTTTGCATACAGTTGCAGACACTTTGCGCGTTTGTTGTGCAACCGGGTCACGCACATATTAATTGGAGAAAAGATAAAGAGAGAACAAAAAGGACAAGAAAAACACCACGATTTAGATATGTGTATATCGGCCTTTCAGTACTACTACCTGCGTATATATATATCTGATATATTGAGTACGAAATGCGTTATATATATTTTTTACAATGTGAAGAATCTGTAAATATATTATATAGCGAGTCGAAGTATACATATATAAATATAAATATATATATAAATATATATATATAAATAATAAAAGGTAATTATCTTGAAACTTCCGAAAAAGATGCGAAGTGTTTCAAAGTGAATATCTTTTATTCGCAAAAGAAAAAGAAAATGTGCATTGCACAATGGGTTAAGTGTAGTCTCGCTCTTTCGTGCATAATTGCGTAGAATGTTAATAATTGCGTAGCAACTTGTTATAATTTGAAAAGTCACATGGGCAGGCGAAACTAAAATGCTGCAATACAGAATCATTTTCTTTTTACTGATTTACTGTCGCTGTTTTCTTTCCGTCTGTTCGTAGCGAAATGTGTCCGCTTATCATTGTTTTATTAATATATCCGAATTACCTCGGTGATTCTTGAACGTGAAAAATTGCTCGCTAATAATAATTATTTTTAAATATGCTCGGATTACTTGAAAATCTTTTCGATCAAAGAGCATCGTAAAATGGTCTTTCATCAACTGGACAATGAAGTGATAGGTTTTATACGCTTTTATGTTGGAGTACCAACATGAGGATCTAGTCATGAGCGAATGAGCTACGCACTCGCAAGTCGCAATTATATATTTGCATTCGTCAGATATTTCTCGAGGCAGGAAACAATTACCGCGTTTCTTTCTTTACCCTATTGACAAGACATTTGTTTTAATTATGAAAATGTATTTATAGTGAAAGCATAGAAATCGACTTTTAGATTCTGTCCGCCTGATAATGTTTGAACATTTAAGTTTTAATTTTACAAGAGATTGAAATTTAGAGCCTTCACAAAGTAATGCACATTTTTTCTTTCTTCGCAATTTTCTTTGTTTTATTTTTCATCATAGCAATAGTATTTGGCACTGTCGCACAAATATAGCGTTAGAACTTTTAAACTGTAGTTTGCTACCAATCAGATATGATCCTGCGTCGAAAAATCTGAATGTATACATCTTTCCTCATCGTGTTAAAACTTGAGCCATTTACAGAAAATCACTTAAAAATTATTACTTTTAAGTCCACAAAATAATAATATTCCCGTTGTAAAGATATCGAATTTATTAGAGAATTACTCGTAATTTGGTTTATACGATGATAAAGTTTCGCATTTGTGATTAAGAAAAGACTCAATGAGGCTCGCTATACGTTTTAAATAAAAATTTTTTTATATTTCATTTCGTATCTCTTGCACGTGTATTTTATTAATCAGTTGTGAGTCACGCGCTTATAACATGTATATTATTCATTATGTACACGAGGTAGAATCAGGTTCGGTTGCAATAAAAAGTCAAGACGATTTTTTCTCTACGGAAAAATCGTCGAATGTGAATCAATCTTTTTGCACAGTTGAGAAGCCTCTCTCATTGTTTCCGTTTCCTTGCATATCTATCTAAAAAAAATCTAACTTATTACTAAATATATCACATAATTGATGATAACACGAGAATAACCGTACTTTCCTGAGATAAAAATCAATACGAAATACAAATGGAAGTAATGAAAAGTATTATAATTGCAATATTTAAATTACAATTTTTCAGGAGACTCAGTATGGTTTTTTCTGTAAAAACCAAATATTTCGGAGAAATTTCAACCTAGAAATAATATTGAATAAATACTATAAATAATAGATTCAATATAAAACTATATATTGATGTTTCAGTAAAACGTTAATGTAAAAACGCACAGTGCTAAGATATACAAATTCAGTTATAATATTATTCATTAAACAGAAAAGTTCTCTTAAAATTTTTTTCCGTCTCGTGTGTACCAGATTCATATATCTCATCGATATGTAACGGTAAGTATATTATAAGATAACTAATTTAATTACAAAAATCATTACAGACTAATTTATTCGATTAATTAATCGAATGTTTTGAAAATTTTGAAAAGGAGGCATAAAAAAAATAGATATAAGGAAACATATAACATCACAATTTTTTTCTTAATACATATAGAAACTTTAAAGAATTAGCTTTCATATTACTGGAAAACTTATACAATTTTCAAAATATACGATTAACAATATGTCATTTTAAGGATTACACATTGAATAATATGTTTTTTGTCCTCTTATGTATAAAATTATCCTAAAAGAAATGGAATGTTCAAATATGTACTTTGCTCGAAGCTAATCCTGGAAATCTGAGGTTTCGTATCTGCTCGATGATCATCTGCGGAGTTGTTTTTTTCTATGAAGTAGTGTCAATGCATGTGCACACGCCTTGGTACGAAACGAACATTTCAAGTGTCTCATTTGGAAGTAAAGTCGAACAGGCCGAAAATTTGTCTGAAATGTCACTAAAACATACATTTTACATATATATTTTATAATATATTTTTTATATTCTTCAATATCTTAATACACTACCCTAATGCTATAGTACATTATATTTCTATAAAATATTCTCGTTTCTTGTGGAAAACATACATAGGAAATATTTAGAATATGTACATATAAATAATATTCAGAAAATTATTTAGAAACAAAGTATTTTAGAATATTATATGTATATATAGTCTTTGGAAATATAAAAGCTTTAGAAATTCATTTATATATCATTCCATTTCGGAATTAAATAATAGAATATAAATAGAATTTTAATACGTATATAAACTTGGCAGTTTTGTACATAAATAACTTAAGTGATAGAGCCTTAAACAGTTGGGCTGGATCTTACTGCTAGTGCTAAATGATATCTTTACGTATTATCTTTCTTTTAAACACAGTAAACTGTACAACAATAACTTTCGGTTCTATATGCAAAAATATTATTTGGTATTAAGACCAGCTCAATCTATAGCTTCTATTACTTATGTTATTTTATAAATAGGATTTATATGAAATCAAACTTGAAAAGAAACGAAAGTCCTTAAAAACGAAATACAAAAGAAAGAAAAACTAATCCACTTACCTCTCTTCAGATTGTACGAAGTATACCTCGATTAACTCTTTGAGATTGAGAAAGTAAACTGCAATCTCATCCGACTTGTACATTTTATCAATGTGCTCGAGGAAAATGTTGTACATCTTATCGTACTGCGTCCCGCCGACTATACTTTTCAGAGCGAACAGCGTCTTTAATAGGACATCGTAGATCGCTTCTTTGTATTCTTTTTGTTTGAGACACGAGAGAGCACTGCAATACCGTAGAAGGCGACGCAACAGCGAAACAAATGTGTCTCTGGGAAAGATGTCTGTGTACGCTAAGGCGAGTTGCATTGCCTCGGTGGTAATTTGCAATATGGTCTCATACGCTATCAATTCGTTGGTCCAACCAAAGTAGGCCGAAGACATTGTCGTCATCTCAAGAGCGAAATTCTGATACTCTGCCTCGGTGGCATGCAGCATCATGTGACGCAAGAACGCTCTCCGATCGAGTTGGGAGGAGTGCTGCGGTTGATACTTGCAACGTCTCTCGTAGTTCTGGATCACATCAATCACGGTGCCACGCAGCATTGTCCGCAACTGTAAAGGCACCAGTATTTGGTCGATTGGCTCTGTAAAGTGATTATTCCTAATAATCTCGTTCCAATTGCTCGGAGTCTGATCTATCGTGGCGAATATAAGATTCAATATCCTCGTTCCACAGTCCAACAAATAGTTCACGGTGTCCCTTGAGTACATTGGGCTGCATTTTCTCATCGTCGACATCTTCTTGGTTAACGATATGATCAGTCGTGTGTAATTCGTTTTGTCTACAGTATGTGATGCGTTGTGTTTGCGCTGTGCTTTCTTTTTCTCCAGGATAGAGTTTATGTGTGTCAGCACGGAAAGCAAGTTCGAGGAATTGAAAACGTCAGTGGACAGGAAGAGAATATAGACATTGTTTATCAGTTCGTCCGGAGTGATTGCCTGTGAAAAAGAAATGTAAAGATTTAAAAAAATGCAGTTCCAACATTAAAAAATAAAAATTACAATTACATCATGTACATATATATATATATTACCTCAGTCTCAAGCATATCATTCATAAAACTCTCAAATTGCTTGTAGTGCCACGTAGAGTGATCATTTAACCAGGCATCGTTCAGAAGGTACGTCAACAAGCTATTTTGCTCGTCCAATTTTATTGTGAGAAACGTATGCAGATAAGCTAACTGAGGCTTTTTAAACATAACATTTCGATACTCTGGTTTGCTACTGCCTAACATGACTCTCACTAGAGTGGTTAACACTACCTTCGGATTCAACATGACAAAAATCAAAATGCAACGTAATTTCTCCTGATCATGCATGTTTATGTTACTTTCTATAAACTTCTTGAAAACTTCGCTGTTGAATAGACACGTTAGACGATTATCGTGAAAGTGCTGTACTGTGTATTGCAGTACAGTATGGTACATAATTGATAGGCGTTTCTGCATTAAGATCTTTAATACCAATATGTAGGCTTGGTGTTTCGCTTCATCAGACATGTTTGTACTTCTAGGTGAAAAAATATAATGAAGATATTTAAGTAGGACACTAAAATCCTTTATATCTAACAGTTTTGCTTTTTCGTTTAACAAATTCAGTACAATCAGGTCCCATTTCTTGTAACGCTCCATCAGTTCCCTCATAACAATGTCTTTATCCAATTGGCTATTCGTTATCTTATAGCAAATTTCTTCTATAGATAAAATATGCTCTTCGGCTGGTTTATTTGAACCTACAATCTGCTGTAGGCAGTGGAACAGATTCTCGTTCAAAATTTCATCGCGCTTCATGAACTCCATAAAGCAGTGGCACTCGATAATAATAGCGCGCTGCAGCGAAATCATAACGTTTTCCTCATCATCGACTTCCGCCCACTCTATGAACTCAAAGCAATCAATTTGTTCGATTTGATCTTGAAGTAGCTTAAATAATTCCTGGTTCAGTTCTTCTACGATGGCTTGTACTTTATCGATTGGAAACTTCCCAAGGTGAGCCGTAGAGTTGTTAAAACTGCCATATGTGATGTTCAACTCTCGCAAGAAAGCATTGTTTTCCTCGTAATACTCACTCTTGTAGCTCATGCATGTTTTGACACAACGAAGCAAATCTTTTAAAAGAATACCATGTTTCGTGTACTTTTCGGGGTCAGATGACTTTATAAATTTGGAGCTGACAATATCTAGCAATGCCTGAAAGTGTGCTACTAATTGATTGGCGAGTTCTACAATATCACGTTTCGACACCGTGTTTACGTTCAGCAATTTGCATTTGTAATACAACTTAGAGATCAGAAGGAAAACAAAGCGTCTGTTTTGCACAATTTGCTGCTCGTTTAAGCATCTGACCGTTGCCTCTAAAATCTCCACGCATATATCCAATGGCATGTGCATCAATGATTCAATCAGTAAGTCATCCAACTTCATATGCCATATTATCTGTATAGTATACATATCATTTATATAATCGGAGCAACATAAGTAAAATTTATTAAATATATAAATATATAATCTGACAGGTAATAATGATTATAAATAACATTATCTATATGTATATGTATACATTAAATATAGCTATTCTCTTATTTATCACAAAATTACACATTTTCCTTTTATCAGCAGAGAAATTATCTAAACGAGTACCCAGAGAACACGCATGTATAAAAGATGTCCAAAATGTAATATTCAACGT